ATAGCTGATTGGCCAGGTAGGTCTTTCCTGTACCGTTATATAAGTTGTTGGTATTTATGCTTGTGCTGGTGCATTTTGTTTTAATTACTGTGTGGTTGGGTCTCTGTGTTTTATAAGCAGTGCCAGCCGATAGAAACAAATAAAACGCTGGGGTTTCCCCCCCCAGGTCTTTGCTCTTTGTTGTGCTCATTTTGTTTTCGGGTGCACACATATTTGTCCGTCTAGCTGTTCCAATTCTTTTTACATTCCTTCAGGTCCATTCTGGCAGTTTCAGCAGGCTTCCTCCAGGAATTTGCTGACATTTCTAAGTTCTTATATTGATGCTATGACATTTATTCTTTATACTGAGGGGATGATTGCTACTCTCTCACTGATAAATTCAAAAACTGGGGTGAAAAGTAGCCAGAAAAACAGAAGAAGAATCAACTGTGCTGAACAGGCCTGTCACTGTAGCTGTGGGTTGCATGGAGCCAACCTGTAGTCACATTTCTAGGGAGGTGCATGTCAGGTTAAGCTGTAGGGTTAACGTAGCTATGGCATAAATCCCCAGTTTACCTGAAGTTGTGGTGAAGCTGCAGGTTGGGGGCAGATGAAGTGGCTTGGCTCATGGTGCCGATAATGTAAGGGCTGAAAGGCAAGAAAAGTACATCATTTCATGAAGTTACTAAACACGTTGAGAGGGATTTACTCTGCTTTAATCTGACGTAACTCCCTGAGCTGTTCTAACAGGGGTTTTCTTTCAGCTCAGTTCATTTGAGGTAAAGTGAAGCCAACCTGCTCTACAGAACAACTGTACACATTTTCAAATAAATGCGATACTTCTAGTCTTTATTGAGTAATAACACTAAGCATGTATACAAAATCCATTCAAGCTTTAGGAGGACTGTGCAGATGGAATGTGTAGTGAACTGACCTGTGCTGGTAGTTGCAGTTGAACAGACCATTGAAGATTTCTCCCAGGGAGCTGACATGGTGGAGGTTGTCCAAGATGACCACTAGAGGGCTCTCTGCCCCTGAGACACTGCTGCACTGCTCGGCCAAACCTGATAAGTACTGACGCAGCTCCTACAAACACATAGATTACGTTTTACATTTCTTAAGCCAGGGAACAAGTTGTTTCTCAAAAACCCATCTGACCAGAAGCTTTAGAAAACAAAGTTTTGGGGGGGGTGCAAACTGCTCTGACATATTGAAATAATTGTTGCCCTAATATTACATTTTTATATTTGTAGCTGTTGTTTACAGTTTTGCAAACTAAACATAAAGAATTAAATTCAATATATTCAAGAGTCAACCCAACACTTACTTAACCCTAGAAAAATTTAATATCGGAGCTCTTAGAGGTGATAAATTCAGCTGTTACCTCCTACGACCCACTAAAGAGGAATTCCTCTGCAATGTAGCTTTTTGTGCTTGTTACATTTTGCAGACTGGGTTTAACAACCAGCATGTAGAGAATCTGTGTG